TAGACACCCCATTTTTGACCGACCTTAAGACTCAGACGCCATCAATTGAGCGCTCGGTGATGGCGCATGTTGTGCTCGTTTCGAGTTTCGGAGTTCTCGACTGAAAGCCTTGCCCCCAGACGTCGGAACTTTTTGTGCTTTGACTCGATTTGCGGATCAGGTCTTGTTTTCTCTTCCTGAACGGAGGGAGAGGTCTTGTAGACCATCTCTTAGTGGCCGTAGGCTAATTTTTGTGGTCGTAGACCACTGTTCCCGTTTGGAGACCAGTTTCCGATTTTCGGAGCCATTGGCCGTGTGCCTCGGTTCGAGACCGCTTAACTACCTCCGTTTGCTCCGGTTTTTGGCACACACCTTGTTTCCTCTCCTTAGAGGGACACTGTGGCCCGGGAGACCACCTTCGTGGTTGCAGGCCACTTTTGATGCTTAATAGTCAGTTTTCGGAGCCCCCGGCTGCGCGTTTTGGCCCTCGAACCTTCATTTCGCATCGGTATAGGTTCATTTTTGGCATGGACCCTAGTTTCATTGTTAGGAAGGTAGTAGTAGGGTGGGAGACCACCTTTTCTTCTTGAAGACCACCTTTCCCTGGTCGGCCGGTTTTTCTTAACAGGTAAGTGGTCTCCCTCACTTTTGAGCCACAATTTCTGGTCTCCCATACCACCATTGAGTTGCATTCACCTGGGAGACCACCAATATAAGTAGGCTGACCACCTTTTCGATCACTTGAACTGGTCGGCCAACCTTCTGCTTTTTTGTCTCTTTGAGTGCTATCCAGCTGTGCTAGCTGGGAGGCATTTGCCCCATCCTCCGAGGATTGACCCTCTTGTTTTGGCTTCTTAAAGAAGCTTGGTCCCTTTTGCTTAGCTTTGAAGAGAAGCTTGACCTTTTGTTGAGCTTTTTAAGGAAGCTTGACCCCTTTGGTCTAACTTCCTCAAGAAGCTTGACCCTTTTGGTTTAGCTTCCTTTAGAAGCTTGGCCTCTTTGCTCCAAGCTTCTTAGAGAAGCTGTGGACCTCCTCTTCTATAAGAGGGAGCCTCTCCCTCACGAGCCAAGGTTGAGAAATTTTGGCTAAGGCATACACCTCTCTCTCTCTATATATCATTCTCTTTTGGTGTCCAAAACTCCTAGTTCTTGGCCCCATTGCACTACACCTCCAAGCACAACACCTCCATGGTCAACCAAACCACCGAGGAGCTCATTTTCAGAGGTTGAAGAGTTCCTATTTTGGTCCAAAAGCTGCTGGCATTCTTCTCTACAAGGGTAAGTCTCTGTTTCCCTCTTTGTAGCCTTATTTTGCTTCATAGTTTAGCTCTATTTGCAAGCATATTTAGGCTTTGTCATAAACTGAAAAAAGTCTTTTTTTGAGCTTCTAAACATGTTTGCTTAAGGCCATTTTCTATTGGGGGTCATCTACCCCCTTGCATGCTTCATTTCCTCTTGTTTTGAGCTATGCATTAGAGCATTTGTGTTGGCCTTGGTTTGGCCTGTTAGCCACTGAAATCCAGCGGATTTTCAGTGGCTAATATGTGTTTTTGAGCCTCAAAATCAGAGAGGGGTGACCCTCTCACCCCTTGTTTTGTTTACTAGCTTTGTTAGCCTTACAAAGGAGCTCCTATTTGCATGTTTCAAAGCCATGTTTCAGACCACTTTTTGTGAGTTTTGTGAACTTCATAGGCTCTGTCCAGAACCCTTTTTGCCATGTTGAATGTCTATTATGCATGTGTAGAGTAATCATCTTCAAGGCCTTCCAAAGGGGCCTTTACTTGCATGCTTCCTAGACTCATTTCAGGCCCTTTTCAGTGAGTTTTAGGGCCCTCATAACCTCTGTGCAGAGGTAGTTTTTCCATTTTGTGTGTCCATCATATATGTGTAGAACAACCCTCTCATTGGCCTTTCAAAGGAACACTTCATTCTAACATGTGTTGACTGAGTTTCAGTGGATTTTTGGTCATATTTTGGCATGCCATGTTTTTATTTTTGGCTGGTTTGGTGGCCCCTCATGTGCTTCATATACATGTAGTGTAAACCATACTTACTAGCCTACGTTGCATGTCGTTTTGGCCCTTCATGTTAGCACTTTTTGGCCATTCCTTAAACTAATTTTGTACATATTTTGGACTGCCTTAACTCTATTTTTGGGTCTCATGGTCGAATGATACTTGTTTTGCATGCTTGTAGTTCAATATCCATGCCTAGCTTTGAGATTTGAGGTCTATTGCATGCATATACTGAGGTGTTTTCATACTTTAGGGTCATTATATATCATATTTCAAAACTTATATGAATGTCATATTCCCATGATTTCCACTCTTTAAACGTGTTTGAGAGTTGTGCATAAATGCCTCGTTTTCGGACCATTGCATGAGCTTCGTTTCTTTGCATGTTGAGTCATCATTTTAGGCCATTTTCCCACTGTTTCAGACCTGCCTAGGGTCTGTTTGGAGCTGTTTTGCTATTTATACATTGCTTTGTGTACCTCTAGTGTAACCCGCTTCACTAGTTTCGGTATTCGAGCCATCTTGCATGCATTGTGTGACATATTTGCATGATTCGGGACCATTGTACATTATGTTTCAGAGTTGGAAAATGTGTGTTTGCATGCCATACTTCATCCTTTGTCATGCTTAGTTAGAGTTGCATGTTGGGCTTTAGGATTGGTCCTTTGCATCCGTGTATGTTTGCATGTATTTCGGATGTCTCATTTCCATCATATGGCCACCGATGTGAGTGTGGCTGAGGTACACTCATATTGGTGTAAGTCCATCTTGCATTTGTATATGCCATTTAGTTCATGTGCGCATGATAGTCTTCGTAAGTGTATTGTGTATGCCATGTTATGTCACGTGCATTGATGACCCCCTATTCGCTCGTTTTCGAAAGCCAGTACCGGCCGCGTCCTCGGGAGACTCTCCCCTACCTGCGACAGTATTTCGACACGGTGCGGCCGACAGAGGTAATTCAGAACTCTCAGTTCTCCATATTTTCACCTTTGATTTATTTTGCACATCTACGATTTCTAATCGGCTTATGCATTGGTTATTTGCAGATTACATGGCAGCCTTGGGTGCCTTTGGGTGAGGACCTTCGATTTCAGCTTGCCGGAGGATGGGCCGCCTCTCGGTACAGGATCCTGTTTAAGAGTCCGGAGGCACAGGAGAGATCGGAAG